CCACCTATAATCACTTTTTAAAGGTATAATTAATTGACATAATCATTGACAAATTTGTATGAATAATTCCATACATGGATAAAGCTAATTTGTTGGTTATCAATTTACCTTTTATGATTTCTAGCCATGTCTGATGTTTTATTTCTTTATTGGTTTTATTTCTTTAGGATCCCTTGCCAGCTCCATCTTTGACCCACTGAAATTTCTTGTGGGTGCTTCAGGAGGAGTCTATGCTCTCATGGGAGGCTACTTTATGAATGTTCTAGTGGTAAGAGCTTTGGGAATAAAATCTACGGGCCCCTTTCAAAAAACAATACTTGATATTTGGTCCAGGAAATCTTCGCTTCTCAATATTTACTGAGCACTTGTTTTCTTTTAGAGAATTTTAGAGACACAGATGTTTCCTTTCATATATTATCTTTATTCCCCCTCCTCATCTTAAAAGTTATGGTTACTAAATAAAATCTTACTTGATTTTTATTGAATATTAGTTTAAAACATATAGAATTCAGGCATAAGTTCTACATTTGTATATGCATTCTGAATAAAATTTCCCATTGAAAAATAGAAAGTCAAATTTTTCATGATAGTATCAGTTAGCAGTTTGCTGTATATATTTTTTCAGCCTTTTTTCTCTTTGTAGTCCAGCTCTATCCATATTAGTGCTACAAATGGAATCGGCTTCACAGATGTTGTTTTGCATCTGAACACTGAGCATCGTGACCCAGGCCGGTGTCTGTACACAGAAACCCACCTCAGTCTTTCCATGTGCTCTGCAGCACCTGCTGGCTAGGAGGATCATAAAGTTTTGACACTGTAAAACATTTGGGTTGACCCCAGTTGTGCAGATTTGCAAATAATGCTATTAGGAATGTCCTTTGACATTTGTCTTTTCCCATTTGTGTGATTTTTTTAAAAAAGATTTATTTATTTATTCATACAGAACTGGGGTACAGGCCAGAGGTGCAGGGGCAGTGAGAGGATTCACCAGAGACAGAGTGGGGAGCAGAACAGGCAGATTGATGAAGTACACTGCTGAGGGGAGCAGCGGGTAGGTCAGGAGAGGTCTGCTGTGCCATGTGGTCACCTCCGGGGCAGGTGGGGATCGAACTCATGCTGGAGTGGCTTTAGTTTCTTAGTGCTGTGCTTTAACCCATTGCGCTACCAGGGAGGGCCTCCCATTTGTGTGATTAAAAAAAAAAAATTATTTATTCATACAAGACCTGAATTACAGGCCAGAGGTGCAGGAGGGTGAGAAGATTCACCAAAGATAGAATGGGGAGCAGAAGAGACAGATGTACTGAAATACACTGCAGAGGGGAGCAGCGACTGAGACAGTAGAAATCTTCTGTGTCATGAGGGTCACCTCCCTGGCTGAGGTTTAAACTCGTGCTTCAGTGGCTGCAGAGAGCTTCATAGTGCTGTGCGTAACCCCTTGAGCCACCAGGGAGGCCCTGTGTGATTTTGTTTTTTTTGTAGGATAAATCCCTAAAATAGATGAATTATTTAAATTTTCATAGAGCTTTGTCCAATAGCCCTCATGGGATAGTATGTGAGAATGGAGCTACTTTTTAAAACAGGCAAAAATCCTAACTTGTCATTTAGGAAAATGATTTTCAAACTTTGGATTATAACCCATTAGCATCTGTGTACTCATTTTTAAGGATTGGGCCCAAAAATTAAACTCTAAAAAGAAAGAAAAAGAAGAAAATCCAGTCTGTATCAGGGTAGTAAGTGTACATATGGTTTTATTCATGTTTGTATTGTCTATTATAGGATTATTATACATTGGATTATTTCTTACTCTAAGTCACAGTCAAAAGAGTTTGAAAACAGTTAATTAATAACGAATGTAGTCATTTCAGCATCTTTACTCCTTGGGAAGATTTAGTGACTGAAACTGACAGGAAACTCGATAGGAAAAGTAATATATTAAAGTAGAATTATCTTTCTGACTCAGTTCTTTAGTTACACACCAGGTTACTGTGAGCTAGCTGGAGATTTTCTGAAGTTTTAAATCAATGTCTTTTATCTAACATTTTCAATTTTTTTAAAATTACCTCAAAAAACTGAAGTTTTTTTATTAAGTCTTTGCTAACTCAGAAAGAAGATAGAGAAAAGTCAAATGAATATTAACCAAAACTAAACAAAACTAACTTGGGGAATATTTCATCAGACTTAATTTTGACAGCTTTTTTCTATCTATTGATGTATGAAGTGTCGATCTTAAATTACTTGTATTTTGGTTATGTACTGCTAATACAATTGTGTCTAGTTCTCTCTTGGGATGCATGTCATGTTGCCTTTTGTTCTCCAAAGTGCACCAGCATTGTACTTCCTAAAAGCATTTGAAAACTGAGCTTTTACACCAGTGCTTTGGTTTGTAAATTATTTGGCACTCAAAGTTGAGTTTAAGTGAAGAAGTAGATGAAGAGGGAGGAAGGTTGAGTTTTCATTTGCCAATAAAGAGCTTATATTAGTGTTATTTATTTCTTTTCAAGAATTTTCGAGAAATGATTCCTGCCTTTGGAATTGTCAGACTACTGGCCATCATCCTTATAGGTAAGTTTGTTCTGGGGACATTTGACACTTTAGTTTTATGGGTGGATCTTCAGAAATTTTTATCATATTTCCTAAGCACTATAATGTAGAATGATGGCTAGCCTAGAATCAGAAAGAATGCTGCCTTCATGACTGCAAGCAGAAAGATGGCGTTTTAGCTGCATCTAAAGCCATGACAGCTTTCTGCCTGTGACAGACCATATAGGGCAGAAGAAGATAATAGCAAAGTCAGGGCCAGTAATTTGTTTCCAGAACTGCTCCAGCTAAGCTATATCTACACAAGGATGGAGGGGTGTGTGTGTGAAGGGGGTGAGGGCTGGGATTGGGGTGGGGTGTGTGTTGGTGGGGGGAGAATGGAGGTTTTGGGGAAAAGGAAAGGGCTGACCCCAGGGTCACATCTTGGGGTCAGATTTGAGGGCCAAGACAGAGGTGGCATTTGATAGAATTCAGTGTTTTGACTGACATATAGTAAAGAAAATTTTGCTAATTGGTATCAGGAGTTAATTATTTCTATTGTGGGCAGAGGGATCACTGTCTGAGAAAAGAGACTCAATTGAGTTTGTGAACAACCTAGTGGTTAAAACAGTAACTCACCCTGAGAGAAAGGAGCTCACTTGTTTAGTTTATACCATTCTGTAAACAACTTCTTTCCCTATAAGAAATTCAAAGCATGAGTGGGTACTAGGCGTGTGGAGAGGAGAACAGGCCCATGCTGAGGCGCAGAGCTGCTGCTTCAGTTGCCAACCAGAGCAGAGAAAGTCCTTGGATGAAAATGTTTTCGCAAGTCACCTGGGTCTCCAGTCAGTCTGCTTCTTTTCTGTACTGATGGATGGCTTTTGTAAAATGATGGAGAATGACCTTAATACTCTTTTTTTTTAAAAAAGATTTGTTTTTTTATACATACAAAACTGGGGTACAGGCCAGAGGTGCAGGGGCAATGAGAGGATTCACCAGACAGAGGGGGGAGCAGAACAGGCAGAGCAATGAAGTACACTGCTGAGGGGAGCATCAGGCAGGTCAGGAGAGATCTGCTGCACCATGTGGGTCACTTCCCTGGCTGGGAATCAAACTTGTGCTGTAGTGGCTGCAATAGCTTCATACTGCTGTACTCTAACCTGTTGTGCCACCAGGGAGGGCCTGCTTCATACTCTTACTACTCCTCAATGCTGGAATAAAAACCCCTCCCTCATGCACAGGGAATCTTCAGAGACAGCTTATGTAGCATTACATCAGCCTTGAGGTAAGTGCAATGTCACTGAGTGATTAAATTCAGTCATTTGACAGAATGCACAGGGCCCACTAGCTGATGCTGACCTTTCTCACTTCCTGCTAAACATCTCTTCTAAAAGTTCTTTGCTCTAGTTTGCCCACTACTGAAAATAAGACAAGTTAAAACACGTACCAGATTTGGCCCTCCCTGGTGGTGCAGCGGGTTAAAGCACAGCACAAAGAAGCTAAAGCCACTTCCGCATGAGTTCGATCCCCGCCTGCCCCGGAGGTGACCACATGGTGCAGCAGACCTCTCCTGACCTGCCCACTGCTCCCCTCAGCAGTGTACTTCGTTGATTTGCCTGTTCTGCTCCCCACTCTGTCTCTGGTGAAGCCTCTCGCCGCCCCTGAGCTTCTGGCCTGTACCCCAGTTCTGTATGCACAAATAAATAAGTCTATAAAAAAAGAAAAACACATACCAGATTAATAAAATACAAGTACATTTTTATTTTTCTTTGGGAAAAATGTGTTCAGTGTTTTTTTTAAATGCTAAATATTCTTAATTGTGAAAGGCAGTTGACCTTACCAAGCTTTTGTTTGTTGACTGTGTATTCTAGCAATGCAACTGAGCTTCTCTTTGGAAAAGTTAAAGGAATCCCATTTTCATCCACAAAAGCAGTCTGTATAAAGACAAATCTTTTAAAATGAGTATCAGTTTTTTAGTAGGGACACTGATTTATTTTATTAGAATAAGGGCTTCTTTTTTAGGAGGGAAGATGTGTCTCTACTTAGAGACTGCCACAATTTAGAAGCAAATTTCCCTAGGAAGCAGAAAGAGCCAGGCAGAGGTATGTAAGACAAGAGAGAAAAGGAAGGAGAACCGGCCATGCTACGATTATAAAGACTTCTCTAGAGAAAGCTTCTGTCCTAGGAGACTAAACCAGAGTAACTGTTACCAATAAGTCAGCTTTGCTAGCTCTGGCATGGGCGTGGTTATAGTTTCCTGGCCCTCTCTCTGCTATTTACACTGGATCAGGAAGTGCAAACCATGATTCAAATACCATGCAGTTGCATTTATCTAGCATTTTGTGTAAGAGTCATGTACAATTAAATTGCGTACTTGACTCGACTTCAGTTAGTTCCTGTCCAGTGACTTCAGTGTCAATACAGTACTGAACGGGAAACTAGCCAGAACACATGATCCCGATGCTGTTTTCCTAAAGGCAAGCGCCAGGTCTTTCCATCTAGGACATGGTGGCCCATGAAATAAGAGCACAGGAACAGGAGTGGAATGCGGCAGCTGTATGAGATGTTTCCGGCAGCTGTATGAGATGTTTGCAAGTACTGGCACACGTCTGGCGGAGTTGTAGGCCAAGAAGCCCTGAAAGGTCCTTTGCAGCACAGAGCTCACTGATTTGCAAAATGTCTCAGTTCTGGCACTTCCTGTCCACTGGGGAAATGTGGGCTCATTTCCTTTCTTGGTCCACCTCCAAAACTTCTAATCATTAGAGGGAATTAGTGTGATGGGGGAAAGTGGAGTTTCCCAGAAGGTTCAAGTCCTGCCCTGCCCCTGAGCTGTTCTGTGGCCTGGGACAAGTACTTAAGCTCTGTTTCTTGATTTCTTTATATATATCTCATTTGGATTGCTGCACTAGTGTGATCTAGCTGGTCTTCCTGCTCCTGTGCTTACTCCCTGGTAGTCTGTTTAAAGCAGCCAGAATGGTCCTTTAAAAATACATTGTGTCAGATACTTTCCAAACTTCCTACCACTCAGAATAGGTCCAAACCTTTCCTGTGGCCTGTGAAACCCTTATACGATCTGTCCCTTGCTCCCTGTTTGATCTCATCACCTTGCTCCCTGTTTGATCTCATCACCTATCCCTTGATTCCTAACTTTAGTCCAGAGTCACCTGGAGTTCTTACTAAAACACTGATCCCTCCCTTTGTAGTTTCTGGTTCACTACATCCGGGTGTGCTTGAGAGTTTTAATTTCTATTGAGTTCCCAGGTGGTGGTGCTGCTGCTTTGGCTTCTCTTGGCTGCTGCTGCTGGGATACTCTAAAAACCTTTGAGCTGGGCAGATCAACTGCTTTCATATTTCTAAAACACTAAGCACATTCGTACCTTAGGGAGTTTGCACTTGTTGCCTTCAGCCTGGAAGACTTCCTTCACGTGTCAGAACTTCTTGCCCATTTACCTCCATCAAACGTCATGTTCTCAGTGCGGTTCTCCCTGACTTCTAAAGTGTGCATCCTACTCCCAGCGTTCCCTATTCTCCTTAGCACCATTTGCCACTGAATGTTTTATTTGCCTTCTCCCACCAGACCTTTGGCTCTATGGGATAGGGCTGTCTCATGTGTTCACTGTTGTGTCTCCACCACCTAGAATAGTGCCTGACTGAGAAGACAGTCAAGAAATACTGGATGGATAAATCTGCAAAATGGGGAAGTGGTATTGTCTAGTTCACAGGGTTGTTTATGAATGAGAGAAGTTAAACCTGTTAACACCTGTCAGAACAGCACCTGGCACAGAAGTAGCATCGGGATATGTTAGCTGCTGCTGCTCTGGAGAGGGAGCAGAAACATACAGTACTGGGGCTTTATCAGGTTGTTTTTTCCTTCCAGTTGGGTCAGACATGGGATTTGCTCTGTACAGAAGATTCTTTGTCCCTGCAAATGGGTCACCGGTGAGTTCAATTTATTATTTTCTAATGAAAAATTGTTTACCTCTCATATCAAGAGCTGAGAGGTATCATCAAGTGGGACAATTCTGAGATGTATGTTACTCAGATTGCATTTTGGGAATTAAGAAAATTCTGAAGGAAAGCAGATATTTACTTAATTCTCATAGCCCTGACCAACCGGCTCAACTTGTCTGCAGCTGCCACACTGTATGGTGGCTGTTACAGAGCAGGAGGAAGAGGGTCTTGCATTGCTCACAGACAGTAAAAAGCAAATTGAAAAGTAGCAATAAAAACTTGGATCTAGGTGGCTTTAAATATAAAAGATTGCCAGTTTTGTTGGAACCAGCCTGAATTTGGTAGTTTTGAGTCTGTTTTTCACCTGCGCTTTAATTCTGACATTCTATTTGTGTGGGGAGATCACACCCCTATTGAGATCCATCACAGCAACTCAACTCTTACTCTCTTGGCTGGCACTATGCAGAACCATCATCAATGTGATGTCATGCAGGGGAAGTAAGGAACAAGGACTCTTTCTGGGTAGTTGGAACATGAGTGAAATGACATTTTTTAGTTTTTCAAGTTTTAGAAGATTTCCTTCTTTCTGTGAACATGAGGCTTTGTTGCTGTTTGCCTTATTTACTTCCTAGTTGTTCAGACTTTCAAGACTTGTCTGACTGTGATGGTATTTGTTTTTGAGTTAAAGAGATGCAACTGAAACATGCAATTAACCTTTTCATCACTTATTTCTATTCCTCCCTCCTTCCACCCCAAGGTGTCTTTTGCAGCTCACATTGCAGGTGGATTTGCTGGAATGTCCATAGGTTACACTGTGTTTAGCTGCTTTGACAAGGCCCTGCTGAAAGATCCAAGGTTTTGGGTGGCGATTGCAGCTTATTTTGCTTGTGTTTTATTTGCTGTGCTGTTCAACATTTTCCTGTCTCCAGCAAACTGACCTGCTCTGTTATAAAACAATAAAGAGAGCCATCTGGGAAAAAAGCTGGAGAATCTATGAAGAAACAGAGAAGTCCCAGCAAGTGCAGGGCAAAGCCCCACTCACGTCTTCACTTTCAAAGACTGTTTATAAAAGGACTTACGGTTTCAGAAAGGGGCTTCTGAATACCAAGGATGGGAGTGAAGAGGAAGAGAGAAAAGGGAAATGAAAAGCAGAGATCAGGTCTTTTTCAGGCATTTGGTGTACATGTATGTAGCCTCTAAAAGGGATGATATATTCTGCAGATTGCTTACTAGAATTCATGAATTTTGTACTATGCTGACAATAAACACCTTTCATATCTACATCAGACTATTAATAATCACTTTGGATCACCGTTTGAATAGATTGATCATTGTTTGAGGTGCTTTGTAGAAATTAGTGCTTATCTTTTTAACAACATAGAAAGGTAGTTATTACTCTGTATTTTAGCGGACATGGAGACTCTTTAAGCAAATCAAGTAATTTGTCTAAGAAAGGGCAGGATTTACAGTACTTTGAAAGTCCACGCTTTCCTCCCTGATAGTTCTCACAGAGCTGTGCTCCCCAAATATTGAAGGTTAGGAGCACCACAGGAGCATAGAAAGGGCTTGCTTAACATTATCACTAGGTTTTTAGAAGCTGGGACTTTAAGAGAAACAGCAGGTCTTTGAATAACATTAACTTGGTAAATTTAATTTTTTCTCATAACATTATAGTGAAAAAACATTGAACAAAACGATGTTATTGGAGTACCAGCTGTATAGGAATAAACATTTCTGTGGGTGTGCTTTAAAGAAAGAGTAGAACTACTTTGAAGACGACTGGATTGTTAAAGGTTTTAAGAGTGTGTTCTAGGACTCCAAGGACCTGGACTCTATTATCCATGATTCTTATTCTTCATGTGACTCTCCTCGGAGCAGGTGGGGTTTATTTACAGAGCCAAGTTGTCATATTTGAAAACTGAAAGCCCCTGGCCTTTTTACAACCCGGATTATTGGACATTCTTTTCCAAAATTGGGGTTTTAGATCATCTGAACACAGGAAATACATTTTTTTTCTTTTATCCTCACTGTATTTTATTTGGAAACACCTACCTAGACATGTTGCTGTCATTCTGAGAGGAGCATTTAAGGAAAGCATGCTTCACTCAATACAGTGAGAAAATATTGATAGGTATCTTAGGAAAAATTGATCTGGGATTTGTTAAAAATTTTTTGAGTATAAGAATATGGGTATCTTCTCAGTTAAACAAAGAGTTGAACAAGAACTTAAAAGTATTTTCTACCTGCCTAGTTAAAAGCTTCTTTTCCCCAGTGGTGACAGCTGTCAACAACTGGGTCTGTATTCTTGCAGACATTTTTCTTCCCAAGAGGAGCAAAAAAGGGAACAGATTTCGCTGATGGCTGATTCACTCACTGCATTGAACTGCACTGAATCTGCTCTGCATTCTCAAGGGGAAAATTCAGAGAATAAGTTGAAGAGTTTTGAAGTTGGCTATGATATAACTTTTAAGCATGATTTGCTTCTCAGCATTACCTAAGAAAGGTTTGACTTAATCTGTTTTATTGATTAAATACGCATGGAAATTGCAGGTTTTGATAAGATAAATGAGATGTGACATGTATTGCTTTATAATATGACTTAAAGATCTGTTCATTTGTAGAGGTGTTTATTCTCTGAATTGCTGAATGATAAACGTCCTCTCCTGGGACATTTCAGTACTGCTATAGCAGCAATGAGAGGGAAACAGCAGTGTGCTGTTAGTATGTTCAGAGGGAACAATATTCCAAACACCAGAAGCAGAAATACTATGTTAATTTTGATAAATTGCCTTTTAAGTAGGTGTATTCACTTTTATTGTTATTAATAGTATATGAGACCAAGTTGCCTCATACTTTTGCAAACAGGTGTTATAAATCTGAAAATTTTGCATTTTGATAGTTAAAAAATGTTTCATTTTAATTTATATCTCTCTTCCTAGTGAAGATTAGTGTTTTTCAAATTTATTAACAGATTACACATGATATGTAATTCGTAATAACATACACATATGAACATATACATATGTGTATATATAATCTTTTCCCTGACGAAATGCCTGCATTTAATCTAAAGGGTAATAGTTAGCAAATGGTCCAAGGAAGAGATATTCATCTGTCATGGACAACCTACCAGATCACTATCCCCTACACTTTTAAAGACTTATATAGTACAATATAATTGTTAACAGCAGAAAACTAGACAGAGAACGAGAATCATGAGATGAGACATGGCTCATTGATAGTAAGGTTGAAGTTAAGGAGTTATTTAGTTAGAAAGTCTTTTTGGTACAAGAAAACATATCTTCATTACCAAGCACAGTGTAATCTTTCCATACTCCCCAGGGGGAAAAATAACCATTAAAAAGACACAAATATCTGGTGTTTTAAAGTCAATACTTCTGAACTATAGAGGAACCATGTATTCAGTTTAACTGAATAACCTTTCTAAGCTGTTGTAATATTAGAAATATTATAGGTATTCTTTTGCTGTGCTGTCCAATGAAATAGCTACGAGGTTCATGTAGCTACTTAAATTTTAATTAAAATGAAGTAAGATTAGAAACTCTGTTCTTCTGTTACACAAACCACGTTGTAAGTGCTGAAAGTCTATCTGTGTGAATAGCAGCGGCTACCTTACTGGACAGCACAGACAGGGTCTATTTCAACATCCTTGCAAAAAGTTCCATTGGGCAGTGCTGCTTCAGAAGCACGAATGAGTAAAAGTGAAGTAGATTTTAGCTGATTACCGCATTGAACTGAATCTGCTCTACAACTACAGTGGCACAAATTCAGAGAACAAGCAGAAGACGATGGTGGTATAACTTCTTTTAAGCATGGTTTGCTTCCCACTTACCTATAGAGAGGTTTGTGTTTTAGCTTAAAGTCATTTGAAAGTTTTTGTATTTTGCTTTTGAGTTTTGTAGTGCTGTAAAAGTTTTAGAACCTAAGATGGATAGCTAAACAATACTACTCCATTCAGGAAATATATTATTGCCCTTTAAGAAAAAATCATTTATTTCTTCTTTTGATTATAAAAGTAAGATACTTGTGTAAAAACAAATTAAAATACATATAATTTAAAAAATTAAGTCAGTTGTAATAATACTGCTCAGGGATAAGCATAGCTAATATTTGGTGAATATCCTAGGATTTTTTTGTATGTCTCTCTATAAAAAAAGTGGTAGTAATGGAGGTAATATGACTTCAGTTTATAAACTGAATATTACTGAAACAGTGTATCAAATGTCTTTTTATATTAGTATATGTTTATAGTTTCTACTGGTTGCAAAGTTCTATACTGTGGATGTATTATTTATTATGTACAATACAGGCTTATTGATTATTATTTTGGATGTTTTTAAGTTATGATTATTATAAACATCAACATGAATAATAATATGTTTACAATTCAAAGTGCTTTGGGTTGGTGGGCCAAAGAATATATTACTGACATGATAAAGTCAAAGAGAATTTTTCTCTTAGAAATAGAAGTAAATCTCAGAAATTGATGCTTTTGTAATTCTTCTGAACTGTATAACACTTAAAAAAAATGAACTAAAAACTACAGAACCAGGTATTTAAAAAGTCAGAATTACCATTACTTGACTATCTCAATTAAATGAGTAAAACTTTAAGAGAAAACAGACAATTTCTTAATACCGCTTTTATGCAAATTTCAGGTTTGCTGGAAGGGAAAAATAACTTTAATAAAAACAGTTAAGAGTTGACTTTTGAGCCACATTTATTGACTGGGTGTGAATGCAAGTTTCAGCTATGTGATCTTGGGTGATTTATGGTCTGCCTCAGTTTCCTCATATGTAAAATGAGGGAAAAAATATATCTACCTCAAAGAATTTCTGTGATAAACATATCATATAGCTATGGTATCTTACTGTGGTATTTCATTGTATAGCATTTCTCTTTATATAAGAGGGACATAGAACATACATTTATAGTTTATGTGAATGTGAATAGAAAGTCACTTTTTTTAAAAAAAGATTTATTTATTTATGCATACAAGAACTGGGGTACAGGCCAGAAGTGCAGGGGTGAGAAGACTCACTAGATACAGAGTGGGAAGTAGAATAGGCAGATGTACTGAAATACACTGCTGAGAGGAGCAGCAGGTGGGTCAGGAGATGTCTGGCACGCCATGTGGGTCACCTCCCTGGCCAGGGATCGAACTTGTGCCTCAGTGGCTGCGGATAGCTTCATAGTGCTATGCCTTAACCTGTTGCGCCACCAGGAGGGCCCCAAACAGTCACTTTAAAAATCTTTCCTTTGGGTTATATTCCTTTTAGACACCTTATTCTCAACTTTAATATGTAATCTACTAAACATTTCAACTATAATTTTTCTTACTGATCCCTTCCACAAAAGCAAGCTTTACGTCTTAAATAGATGAAACACTTTTACAATGAAAATTCTCTAATACTACCATCACCCTAATGGCCACTTAATTCAAGTAATATCTAATAACATTTGTGTAATACAAAATAGTTAAAATTCTGAGTTTATTTAATATAAAAATTTAGAAAGGTACTAGCAAAGTGTAAGGATCTTATGATATTTCATAAATATTACTGAAAGGGATTTCTGAAAATGTTATTTCTAGAAAGAAATCAGAACTTAGAAATCTACATGTGAATTAGGAAACTAGATTTCTGTGAATATATTGTAGTATATACACATAATGATTCATAATGCTGTATACTTGAAGCCTATATAATGTTATAAATCAATCAATCACTTCAAGAAAAAATTCACTAAGAAAATTGTGGAGTAATCTAAATTCCTGTAACAAAAATCTGATCTGTTTTTTATGGTTTCATCAAATGCTATACCTTACTGAATTATCAAACACATTAATTTCCTTTGAATGAGTTTTACTTTGGTTATAACCTTTCAAAAAAAATAATCTTAGTAAGTAGATGTGTAAGATGTCAGTAGTTTTAGAAACCTCTTTAAAATTTCTCATTAAGGACCTTCCTGGTGGTGAAAAGAATTAAGTTTCAGCACTATCAAACTATCCACAGCCACTGTGGCATGAGTTCAGCTGAGTTCGATCCCTGGCATCGGAGCTAACCCATATGGCACAGCAGACCTCTTCTCACTTGCTGCTCCCCTCAGCAATGTATTTCAGTGAATCCACCTGTTCTATTCCCCACTCTGTCTCTGGTGAATCCTCTCATCCCCCAACACCTCTGGCTTACATCCCAGCTCTTACATGCATAAATAAATATTTAAAATTTCTCATTAAAAAATAAACAATAAACTTCTTTCCTAGGGGAATACTACAGCTTTATTTTTAATACAGAATATATTCAGCCTTATACCAGCTATCATGTTTTGTTGTTTTTCACTGCATTATGAGGTCTAAACATAAGTGAGTAAAAATTCCTGACATTTTAAATATATTCTTGGTAATGCATTATCATAACTTTGGGAAAAAAATAAAGCAAACAGCACACTGAAAGAACATTTTGTTCAAATTTTACTTATAGGTTTGTTTTGAGAAGTAGGTGAGTGGAAGAATTTACCTGCCTACCATTTTAGGGGCAAAGATGGCAGACTAAATAAATTATGGGGGGCTGGAATTTCAAACTTGGAGGCATTCTGGAAGAAGTTCACATTCACTCCACCATAACTGGAAAGATCTGGCTCGCAATCCTGTTTATATTTTCAAATGCTTGTTCTGAGTATAACAGCTGAAGATGTCTGGAATTATGAGCAGTTTGGCTTCATCTGTAATACAGAACCTGGCTGCAGAAATGTGGGCTACAACCAGGCCTTTCCTATCTCCTAGAAACTGGGTTTTGTATGCGTTGTGTCTTCACCATCTGTTTCACCTGGGCCACATTGTATACCAAGTCAGAGTTCTGGAGTTTGGGTCAGAAAGCTCAACTAAGAACTGAGGAAGACAGAGTGTGAAATGCCTGGATAGAACTTTGCCAGCTTGAGCGATGGAAATGAAATAAAGCTCTGCTCAGAGGAACATTACTTTGTACTTGTGTGATACACATTTCACTTGCTGTCTGGTATAAGTTGTGCTCATGATTGGACATTTTCTTTTATATAGATTTTACTTAATGCCTGCATTTAAATGTCACAGTCACCCATGTCCAAATGTAATTGATTGTTTTGACTCAAGATCAACAGAAAAAACAATATCCCTGTTATTTATGCAAGTCATAACTAGTGTTTCACTTTCCTTAAGTTTTCTAGAAAATTTCCACTTAGGTTAAAAAAAAAAAAGGCTTGGGGGACAATATAAATTGAAAGATGAGTATAATTTATTCCATGTGAACAATTTAGTCAAAAGAGAAACTTGCCCAATATCAGAGCACATCTGCAAATTCAGAAGAGAGTCTCTTCTGTACCTGTGTAATCTGTTAGGAGAAAAGCAAACACACAATAGTTTAACTTTGCCTGCAGTTAAGACAGATCCCACAAATCACAATGGAAATGATGAGACTTGCATCATTGGTAAACAAGAAACTGCACTTTCCAGTGAGATGTAACACTTAGTGCTACCTGTAGTCATCAACACACTGGCTCAAGTAATAAGGAAGATACTCAAAAAGTATTTGGAAAGGAAGCTAATGGTAACTAGTTTAGAGAAAAAGAAGAAATTGATGGCAAAGGGAGCAAAAGGAACCCCTGCTCTCTAGAGATCATTCTTCTCAAGGAGTTGCTATTCATCTGAACAAATGCCTGGAGCAGGCATCCCAAACAGCTTTCTCTCCTAACTGCTCCTGGAAACCCAGGTGGCTTCGAGCTACAAGAGGTCCCTCTACTGAAGAAGAAAACGGTATTATCTCCTAAAGGTGACCTCAACAGCTAGTTCAGAGGGCTCCTCAGGTCAGAATACTTCTTCCTTTACAGGCTTACTTGCAACCATGTGACATTCCAGGCACTCCTGGTTGTTTTGAGTTGTCCTTGGAATCTGAGTTGGTCAGAAACTGCAAGAACTGTATTGAATATCTGCCAAATCATTTAGCGTTGTTGACAAGGACACTGGTAGGTGGGCTTCCACAGTCCTTCAGGTTTAAACAGCTGCTATCTTTTAGACAATCTGAACATTATGATGGAGATAGCCTTGTGGAACAAAGACATAACAGGTCAGGGCAGTTCTAAAGGCCTGCCATTAAGATACCTAATTCTTGAACTGTGAAGGGGTTGTTTTAAATCCAGACACGGATACTTTTCTGGGATTCCCTTCAGAATTCCTGAAAGTTAATTTTTGGAAAATTGTATGTTCAGAATTGAGGCTCATTGGTTTGGAACCGGGTTTTTTCCTTGAAGGGACCAGTCTTAATTATTCTTGGGGTATGGAATTCCTCCTTTAGTTTAATTACCAATCTTTCATTTCTGAAAGGTTAAATATTGTTTATCCTTGGGACTTCAGTTTCCTGATGTTTCTATAGTTTGGTAGGCTATATGATAAAATCTTTAAAAGTTCAGTGGCGTTCTCTCAATTTACAGTATCTTGATTCCATGCCCAGATTGGAGTCTTGCCTGTACCACTCACCAGTCACTAACCTCTTAGAGGGATGGTGTGAGGGCTAAAATATGAAACATATGTATAATACAGTGCTCTGCATAAAGTAAGAGCTCAAAAATGCCATTATTAGCACGTTTCGGGTCTTCGTGAAGTCGGCTTCAAAGCAGATTCCAAAAGTAGAAGCTGGAGCAGAAACATATTAAACACACTTCTCAAGATACAGAAATCACAAGGGTCGACCTTAATCGGTCGTGCGCACTTTTTTAGGAAGAGTGTCAAGAAGCCAGCATAGATAAGTGACCTCAGCTTCCGAGGTCCTGTCGGCTACTAACGTCCCGGAAATCCTCCTGGGGGCGTCTGTGCGTTCCGGAGCGCCACAGGCCCCGCCCCCGCCCCGACGCCACGCCTACTTCGGGCCCCACCTGGACTCTTGTCACGGGTTACCAAAACCGCGCCCCTCTCCAAGCAACCGAATCGCTGAGGGGACCGGAAGAGGAAGAAGTGCGGTCCCGAGAGCCAAGGGGCGGGCACACGCAGCCTCGCTCCGCTCAGCCCACTATGGGGCATTTAGAGCGTCCCGGTCGCCATGAAAACAGGCCACACCCCGGCGATCCAGGCCCGTGATTCGCAAGTGCGCAGGCGCACGTGCCCTTCCGCGCATGGGCAGTGCAGTTCAGAGCCCGCCAGCCACGGTCTCGGGCGCCAGCTACGCGGCTGCCGCTGTCACTATGGCCCATTACAAAGTGAGGGGGGCGCGGCGTGGCTGGGAGCATGTGGGCGGTAGCCAGCCGCTGGTCGGCTCTGGGTGGGAGAGGGGGCGCGCGCGCAGGTTTTGGGGGTCTGAGGTGGCGAGGCGAAGGAGGGTTGCCGGACTCCCAGCGCCTTTTACCGCTCCGGCCCCCGAGCTTCGACCACTGACCCGCCGTGTCTCCTCAGGCCGCAGACTCGAAGCGCGAGCAGTTCCGGAGGTACTTGGAGAAGTCAGGGGTGCTGGACACGCTGACCAAGGGTGAGCATGGGCTAGGAGAGTGTTTCTCGTGCCCTCGTCGTATACTCCTCGGTGCTGCACCCTGACGGGCTGTGGCTTGGGGAAGGACGGGGAACAGGTGGGGCCCGCCGGGGCTCCCGCGAGGTGGGCCTCGGGGTCTGGGCGTCACCAGCGCACGCCTGGTAGCCGGACGCCACCCGAGTGGGGTACCTGGCTCACGCTACCACTCTCCTGGCCGGCAGGGAAACTCTTGCAGCTGTTGCAAAGTCTCTTCAACTTCCGTTGGTTTGCTTGGAGCAGCCGCAGTGGGCATGTTTGCTGAAGACCTTGCGATCCCAATTCCTTTTGCCTTCAGTTTTTATGGAGCTGTTAATGAACAGTTGTCCCTCGAACAAAAGGCAAATTGGAAAAATGACCACATTTGAGAGGGACTGTGAAGTAGCTGATTGGACCTAATTCTCAAAGTAGATGATTCATAGTCAATTTGGCTGTGTCTTTTCAACCCCCTTTTCATAGTTCTTATTTCAGTCCTAATTTTTGCGAATTTCGAAGTAGAATTTCTGCTAAAGACTTTGAGGGCCTGCCTAAATGTTATATTGTTTTCACTTTTTAAAACTGGAAGTTTCTATTACACTATATCTCTTACTCTGAGGCTCAAGATTTAAGGAGATAAGGTGCTAGAAACTAGGGTTTCAAGAGATAACTGTTTATTTCAAGAGCTCAGCATTGAACAAGCACACTCAGCTCACTGGATACTTTAAAGGTTGTAGAAGAAGAGCTGGCAGGGATAATGACCTGGGTTCTTATGGAATTAGTAAATTCCTGGGAAATAACTTGGTGATTGCTCTTTGGTAAGAACAAGGTTAGGAGAAAATTTTGGGAGAATAACTCTGGCCTTAGCAGATGGCCAAGCATGGGCTGGTGGTTTTGAATTGCTCCTACCTTGGGTTCAGGCACTAGTTTTTCTATAACTTTGCAAATAAATTTTCAGCAAACTACTCTATGAAAAGGTCTCTTGCTCTATGGTCTCTGGTAGTGTCACAGATACTTGGAGTTATATATCTCCTTAAAAAGCTCCACAAGTTCATTTCTTTTCATTTGACCACTTTATTCAGGTTTCTGTTCTAGGCAAGATAGGGGAAGGATGAAAGAATGAGCTCATATCCTAGTTGGGGGAGACATGATAAATACATAGTGTTAGTAAGTGTTAAATGTGATGAATAAAATAGAAAAGTAAGGGAATAAAGAGCACTGGGTATATCATTTTATATAGGCTGGTGGGGGGCAGGGTGAAGGGCATATCTGAAGAAGTAACATTTGAGCAGAGACCTGAATAAAATACTGTCATGTCATGAGTTCCAAGAAGTTTAAAGACGCCAGTGTGGCTGGATGGAATGAGTGAAGAAATAGAAAGTGGCAGAGAAGTGACCAATGTTTCAGGTAACCGAAGATGTAAAGCCATGTGGCCATACTTGGATGGATTTTCTTTCTTTTTTTAAAGATTTCTTTATGCATGCAAGAACTGGGGTGTGTAGGCCAGAGGTATGGGGGTGAGAAGATTCACCAAAGACAGAATGGGGAGAAGAAAAGGCAGATTCACTGAAATACAGTGTTGAGCAGTGGGGGTGACAGGAGAGGTCTGCTGCGCCATGTGGTTCACGTCCCTGGCGGAGGATTGAACTCATGTCCTCATGTTGCACCGGCTGGCAACAACTTGATAGCGCTGTCTTTAATGCCTACACCACCAGAGAGGCCCTGGATTTGCTTTCTTAAGAATATGGAACCCACTGGAGATTTCTTTTCCCTTACATCTACAGGTATCTAACCCCTCAATCTCACTAGATTTCCGATTTCCTAAAAATAATTAGACAATTCACCTAGTATCTCCTGATAAGATCTATTTAAAATCTGATTTGAGATTCAAACATAGGTACTTTATGTAAACTTAATTTATAATTTTATTCAGCTATTTCTAACAATATTTGAATATGCTTCTAATATTAAAATACCATAAGACAAGTCAGCTAAAGATAAGTAATTTGGAGGAAGAGAAATTTTAGTTATTTTGAGCACTACATTAACCTCTAAAAATCTTGACTGCTAAGGCAAAAAGAGGAATTGGGTATAACGTTCCTGTTTGATTAAAAGGAAGTATATTTTATCTATAGAAAAGCACAGGAAACATTTACACAGTGTTCTGTAATTATCAACCTTGTGTCACTGATAGAAGTTTAGAAGCTGAAAGAAAAGTAGTCAGGAATATAGGTTAGTATTTTTGTCTTAGAAAATTAGGATTCAGTAGAAAGCAGTGGAAGTTAATGAAGGAAAAAATAAGTTTGAGCATATAACTTTTTAAAAAGGTAACAAATAGAGGAATTAAATAGTACTATAACAGGTAAGGAAAGGTTAGAGAATATTGGTGATGAAAATATGCCAATTTCTTAAAAAACAGTGCTGCAAATATATTTTAAAGAGATGAAGACTATCAGAACTCAGTGCTAAAAGTAGCTGCCCATTTGAGTTGTTCATACTGTCTTTATACTTTTGATGAGCTATTTAAACTAAAGGGAAGAATATAAATTGATTTATAGCAGTAGTTCTGGGGGTCATTTTTTTGTGTAGTTAACATGTTTTGGCTTTTTAACCCTTGTTCAAAGGGTTGCATGCACAAAAATTATTAATCAATGGTTTAGAGAGATTTTTATCTGAGTAGTAAATTCTAAGAGGAATTACTCAATAGAAGATGAGAAAGGTATTGCTGACATGAACTACTGGATATGAGACCACTAAAACATAAATTTTAATGTTGATTTGAACATGCTAATTACAGGTAAAGTTTTTGATTGGTGGTTATTTAATGTGCTGTGTATGAAACATCAATCTTGAAGAACATTTTGAATTCAAAACTTTTCCAGTGATTTCCATAGCCTTGATTCTCTCCTAAGTTTCTCAAATGCATCTTCTTTCTACCCCTGTATCACTGTAGTGCAGATCAACTAGATTACCACATTAGCTTTCTACTACTCTTCCTGCCTTTAACCTGTCCCACTTAACAGATCTTCCACACAGCAGTAGAGTGATCCTGTTACTGTATAGCTTAAAATTGTTAAGATTTTAGAATCAAAGTCCAACTGAACTTGACTATCTTCCACTCGCTGATAATCACTGTTCACAGCTCCATGTAGCCATACTTGAATTTTTCAGTTCCTCAATATGTTTTTCTTTTGTCCTCCCCACCCTTGCTATTTTATCTGAAACACTCTTTGTCTAGGACCCAGACTTATTTCACTTCCTTTTGGAAGCCTTTCCTAGTGTCTTAGGTATTAGGTTTTCTTCAACTGTGTTCCTAACCTATTATCCTGTATTGCCTCTTACACACACACACACACACACACACACACACACACACACACACACACACACACATTTTTGTCTAGTTCATTGCATATCTTTTGCAGTAAACTGTAAATTCCTTGAGAGCATGCGCATTGTATGGATAGTTCTAGCAATATACTTGGTAAATCATAGGCATTTAATACAACATTATGGAATATAATTTCAGCCATTCAAATTTAAGACGCTGATTGTTGCTTTTTCTGCCTTTTGATTTGCAGTATTGGTAGCCTTATATGAAGAACCAGAAAAACCTAATAGTGCTTTGGAGTATCCTTTTTATCTTTCAAATCAGAAAAAGACCTTTTTTTTTTTATTCTTATTTTTTTTCACATAGATAGTAACCTTTAAAACTTTTACTGAAAAGTTACTTTATGTTTCTGAATGATCTCAAGATAAATACTGGTGGTAGGGTGGGGTGACTGATCAGAAATATTGACGTGACTGGGCTATTTCATTCAGTTTGAGAAGTGTATTCTTAACTTCGATATTAGTTTTTTAAAGCATCACTTAGGAGCTGCTACCCCAGAAAATCCAGAAATAGAGCTGCTTCGCCTAGAATTGGCAGAAATGAAAGAGAAATATGAAGCTATTATAGAAGAAAATAAAAAACTGAAAGCAAAGGTAAAGTTTTTAAAAGAATTTGTTAAAAGTCATCTCAACTTTATGGATTATATTATCAAAACCTCACTAAGATGGACAGTAAAGTTAACTTAAAGGCCAAACTGATAACCTGTCTAGGAAACCTCAGATGAATTATAAATAGGATAAGCAAAGTGTGGTCAAGAAGAGGTTCTTGGGAACCTGCATCAACGAAAAAAGATAAGCATATTGGTTAATGCTGCTTATAATAATAGAGATTTCTGAGTCTTAAGCAGTTCTGATTTAAGGTCAGTTTAGGGCCTTTGCCTTACTGAATGGCACCTGTCAGTTATGCAGTGCCCATTCTGTACAGTTGTTAACATATCTTTGTAAATTTATTTGCACTTAATTTTATCTAATGCTCAAGCCTTTTCTTTGTTCAGATTCCCGTCAGATTTTTCATAAACTCTTACCTTTGAGGTTTTAGCACATTTTGAATTGCACAATGCGTTTTACATTACCATAGGCATTTCTCATAATGTGTTTTATCTTCTCAACAATTTTTCAAGACAAGTGAGACAGGTACACACAGATCATTTTATAGGTGAAGAAATTAAAGTACATTGGAGTCTTATTAGCTTCTCAAATACCAATAGTTGATTGGAACAACTCAAATCACTAACTTAGTGATTTGTAGGAAAACTCAAATCACTAATTTAGTGATTTGTAGGAAACCACAACTTGTCATAAAAGAACATGCAGTATCTTAAATTATCTAATATACCACCAAGTGTGGAGGCTAACTCTGGCATCTTTAAAGTCAAAGACATTAGCTGCTTTTCAGTGACTGGCTAGATGAATATATATCACAGAATTCTTTTTCGACTTTTTAGGAGAAAGTTCAGTAAATTTGGTTGAGAGGAAGAAAGGAGGTTATTATTACAAGCCACATCTTTGGGAAAGTCTAAATTACTGCATGTCAAATACTTGAAAAGTCGTGAATTGGAACCATATTTTAGTTTCTCAGTAATTTTAAAGGTTTATATGAAAAAAGCTTTCATTAAATTTGATTGTATATATCTTATGGAATGATTTAAAAAGGATAGAATATTAATACTTATTCAGTAATTAAAATGAATATAATAGCTAACTTTTGTTTCAATTTAGAATAAGATTCACCTAAACTCCTCTGTCTTTGCCCTATAGCTTGCTCAGTATGAACCACCTCAGGAGGAGAAGCGTGCTGAATAAGATTCTTCTCAGTTGAAAAGACACTGAAAAATGGTTTTGTATGACTTGAATAGTTTGTATAGTATATAATCTTTCAAACAGATGCTATAGAACTCTTTTAATATGTTAAATTCACCAATCACACTTTAATTGTTATAAAACACAAATACTTAGAATCACCAATAAAAACTCAATATAACTCTCTTTGGGTCTTAAAAACAGGAGAATCCAAAGCGAATCCTGAAAAAAATCTAAACACAACCATTCATTACCTTAAAAGACATTTATCAGTCTGATTATGAACGATGGTGCAGGTTGTATTTAACCAAGGAAATTTAGCAGGGAGCTGTTCCTTGGTTTAATTCAGGATATGAGCACAGGTATAGTCATTCTCCAATATGAGGATGACACTGTTTATATTCTCTGTAGGCAGCTGGAGAGATCTGTGTGACAGAAGATGCTTTTGCATGGGTTCCCACGAATATTCTGCTCGTTTATGTAACGCGGAACAAATAACTCTTCTTTTCCACCACTTTGCCTTAGATAACGGTGTGTGCCAGTTTGAACTCTGACACCACGTTTTCCTTCTATGCAATCACGCCCTATCTGATAATGTTGCCTTGCTTTGCTGTGTGCTTCGGTGTCTTTAGTTGCACATTGGCCTTTCTGTGTTGTTTTTCAATTTGCTATAACTGCAGTTACTCTGATTGTAATTTATATAGTTTTAAACAGGATCACACTGCTCCCCTTGCCTGCCTTAGTTAAGCACAGAACAGAGGCAATATAAGATTCTGGATTCAACGCACAAGCTGAGATGAGAAGGGGAATGAGCCATATATTGTGGAAAATCATAGCTTGCAGGTATAATTATATAGTGCTTTTTTCCCTCCCTCAAAGTATTTTTCTAGCCTTGAATTCATTTTATCTTCATTATCCCTGTGAAGTAGGTAGGGCAAGAATGAGGGGAGGTTGGGTGCTGACTTCTTAGGCCAAAGACTGATATTAATACAAATTATTTACTAACTGTAGAACCTTGGGCACATAGTTCACTGCTCTGAGATTCACTTTCCTCATCTGTTAAATGAGAATAATATCTGTGCTGCCTACCTCACAGGGTTGTTGTGAGGGTCAAATGAGAATGTATGTGAAAGATCTGTAAATGGTAAAGCACTATATTCTTGTTTGTTAGTCCTTTTTTTCTTGGAAGATCTACAGTCAGATGTTTGATTAGTCACTTATTTTCTTCATTGATTGACTGACATTATTAAGTAGTCATGCATTGCATGTATTACATTCTATTGTCAGAGAACCAGTCTTTATTTTGTGGTCAAAATACACAGAAAACAAAAAGACCCAATGAAAGCCGATTTAACTAGCAAAAGCCTCAACAGCTGTTGGAAGGGTGACGAAACCAATTATAAAGGCATTTTAATCAGTCATGTTGCTGGGAATGTAGTAATGGTCTGTGCCTCTCTAGTCACAATTTTTTTGGGTGGGGTAGAAGGTACTGTTGGCTGAACATCCACTTGAGTTGGTTTATCTTTCATCAATTTAAGTGACTTTTACATGGGCAACAGTGGGCTAAGGGTGGGATGTTATGAAGATGAATAAATACAACCTATTAAGCAATAACATGTTATAAGCGATTACAATGTGGGATAGATGGGCTAAGAGCCATTTGAAAAATAAAACATGGCTCTGTGGGGTTGTGGGCTTAAGGAAGAATTAGCCTCTTTAAGCAGTTAGTGTGACAGTCTATTTGTGTACACAGAAAGTAGAAATTTTGGGGAGCAGCCAATCCTCATTTGCTATTTCCCCATGAAACTATTAATATTTACACTAGTCAGGTGACTGTCTCTTGTATCATCCTTTGGGACAGAATTGCAACATGTAGGTTGGATAATCACACTTTTCAGTGTAACTGACTTGCTCTATCAGTCCGTGCCATTTAGGAATTCAGGGCTGGCCTGGCTTACACAGGTCCTCCTCAACACTTATTTCAAGAATTTGGATGAAGCCAAGAAGATGCTTAATGGAGGAGAAAAAAGATCCCACACATTCGGTTACTGCTATGCTTCCCTATTTGTGAAATGTAGATTTTACAATTTGCCCACCTCACAAGGTGGTTGTAAGGATTGAAATATTGATAAATATAATGTAAGAGTACCTTGCAAATTGTACAGGACTACACATGATTGTAATGCAAAATCTGTTAGTGCCATAAAGGGCAGGTAGGTAGTCTAGTTTGAAATAAGCTTGAAAAGGATTAACAACTTGGGAGTATCCAAACATCTGGGCCTAAACCAACAGGTTGAAATGTCAATATATTTAGATTACAAAATGCAGTTATACAAGTTTAGGTGCTGTGATTGACAAAAATACTAGTTCCTGTGAATATCTGTGTGAGCCACTTAAACTCTGACTATTTAAAGAATTCCATTCTGAAAGGCATTTATTTATTGAAATACTGTGCAGCATCCTGAAGGCTGTATTGGAGGCGCCAGATCTCCAATGGATGTTGATAGGCTCAAATGCATGTAAAAAAGAGTGTGGCCAATGTGAAGAGGCATTTGAAAATACAAGGCCTCTGTCCAATATGGTACCCACTAGTCTTGAATGGCAATTCAGTGAGAAACTCAGACAGTCATACTAGCAACCTTTCAGGTGTTCAATCCACATTGGCTGCTACAGTAAATAGCACAGATATAACATATTTCAAGACAGAAGATTCTGGTAATCACCATGGAAGGAATGGCTGAAGGAATGCAGGTTCTTTGTGGGTGATGAAGACTGATGTAGATTTGAAGAGGCTGTTGTAGAAGAGATTAAGACCGCTCCTATTTTGTTCCAGTACTAGCTCGAGAGAGTCATTTTTGAGATGGTAAGCAGTCTTCCTTTGAACTATTTAAGTGTAATGCTGTCATGTCTGTCAGATATGATGTAGTTGGATTCTCTGTGAGGCTGGACTACAAGACTGTCTAAGAATGTGTCCTACCTAGATCCTGACCTAACCAAATTCCAGTTCTGCATAATCAAGAAGTGAGTTTCCTCTCAAATTAGCCAGTGCCACCCCCATTCCCACTTTTAAGAGGAGGATCCTCTTTTGTCAAATTTCCAATTCTAGGGTCTGTCGAGAGTGAAAATTCTACCTTTCTTCAAACAATGACAAACAGTTTTGGTGTCGTTATTCATCCCTTTGGTCTCATATTTGAAGATACAGAAGATGCAGTGTTCAGTGGGGCCGGGGATGGAATTACTGGAGAAATGGACTGACTGAAAGTGGGGAAACTGAGTGCTGTCGAGTTTGAGGTGGCAGCAGTACCCACTGTCAGTGACTTGCAGAAGAGTGGATGTTCTAGTTTGGTTCTGTTTGCTCCCCTATCAGGGTCCAGTTACCTGCCTTGGTTGAGGTTGTACCTTCATTCTGACTGGTTGCTCCTCTACATCTTTGTATGCACCAACCATATCCATCTTCTAGACCTGCTCAGACGCCTGCTCATTTTAGACTTCTCACCCAACTCCCGAGCATTTTATCTATGCCTTTGACCATCCCACTATTAATAGCTCGTGCCGAGGGTACTTACGCATAACTCCGATCTCTAGTTATCTTCAACCAACTCGAGGGCAGGGAGGATCCGAGTCAGTTTCAGTTTTGTGCCCCAGGACATCGCGGGCATCTGAATTTGGCTGGCAGAGCACAAGCGTAGTATGCGGACAATCAGTTCTTCCCCGAAATGTCCAGAGAGCATCTCCCATTACGATTGCCTCGGGCTCTTCGAAGAAATCATGAGAACCGAGAGGAGCTCGGCGCGTGGCTGGGGCGAGGGCAGAGGGCTCCGCGGGGCCGAGCCACCCTCCTCGTGACTCCTCCTCCCCCCCTCCACAGCTCCGAGTCAGGTGATTCCGGGCACGTGACGGCCACCACCTACCGCTGCGCCTGAGAGGCAGCTGGGACGTCCAATGAGAGGCTGGGTCTCGGCGCAGAGCCAATGAGAATCGGGCTCCGGGGGCGGGCCGCACGGTGGTGGCGGCGGCGGC